TATTCTAACATGCAGCCCTGTCTTTGGCCGAGCCATTGGCCACGCGCTTTCCTTGCATTTTCCTCCATTTTTTCCTCACGCGCCTCCCTTTCACTTTCGTCCCTTTCACTACGTTCGTCGCTTTCCCTCATTCGCTGGCGGGCTGCCAAGCGTACGGCCCAATTTCTTCCTTCCCCGCGCCGCCTACGCTTTCCCGTCTACCACTCACTTGCTTTCCACTACCACCGGCGCGTCAGGCCCTTTGCTTCGCCTGCCACTTTCTCTCAGTTCCTAATACCCTGGTGTTTTTCCGCGCCTATTTTCAATTTATTTTTTATAAATTATGGATGTTCGCGAGTCACACTATACGTTATATTTTTATATATTAAATCAGGAACATATATAGATATAGGAGGAATCTAATATTTTAATAGTTTAAGTTATTCAACATACGTGGTATTATATATTCTTACGAGGGTATAATAATTACTACGTAAGTATAAGAATAATTTTAACCTATTTTATAAATATTAAATTATCACTTTAGTATTAAGAACTTCGTTTTGTTATTATTTTTAATTGTTAATTAAGTTTTAGAATTAATTAGAATAGGGATGTGTGAGAATCTTTGAAGATAGAGGGAAACTCGCGAGGAGACGCGCGACTTTACCTCTGGCTCAAGCGAAACGCGTGAACCGTACGCGCATTTCGCGGAGTCAAAGATAAGAAGCGCAAGCGCAAACTGACCCTCTCTCTTAAGAAATTTCTCCCACTTTACGTTTTGGAAAAGTCGCGGATGATAAAAGCTGATGCACTGGACCAAAACGTCAGTTCTATCCTGAGCTCACCTAGAGGTTGGTCTTCCTCCTCCGCTCAACTTAACCACTACCTTCTGAAATTGTACTTAGAATAAATTGCGAGTTTCGGACTTAGAATAAATCGCCGAGTTTATACTTATAAAATTTTCAAGGAAAATTGAACTTAGAAAAATTTCGAAGAAAATTGGACTTAGAAAATTTTCAAAGAAATTTGGACTTAGAAAATTTTCGAAGAAAATTGGACTTAGAAAATTTTCAAAGAAATTTGGACTTAGAAAATTTTCGAGGAAAATTGGACTTAGAAAATTTTTCAAAGAAATTTGGACTTAGAAAATTTTCGAAGAAATTTGGACTTAGAAAATTTTCCAGGAAAATTGAACTTAGAAAATTTTTCGAAGAGATTGAACTTAGAAAATTTTCAAAGAAATTTTAAACTTAGAGAATTTTTGCGGATCTCCACCCTCAGGGAGTTACCGTAGTGAACCGACCATTGTATCACCATTCGTTTAATAAATCGAAACGAACACAAGCTGTTGTCATCTTTATTCATAATACCTTCCAATGGTGAGTACATACTTCTCTCAATAAGTTCATTACTTCTACCGCCTCCCGAGTTGGTTTCCTCTCGGTCACGTTACACTTACACGGAGTCAAGCTGGTTTCCTCTTGACGTCCCTCACACTCTTGAATTGAGCTGGTTTCCTCTCAAGAAGAGTAACATTAAAATCGAGTTGGTTACCTCTCGATTATAACACACCGAGTTGGTTTCCTCTCGGTCACGTCACACTTACGCGGTGTCAAGCTGGTTTCCTCTTGACATCCACATTCTAAATTTGAGTTGGTTTCCTCTCAAATTGAGTACATTAAAATCGAGTTGGTTTCCTCTCGATTATAACACACCGAGTTGGTTTCCTCTCGGTCGCATCACACTTACGCGGTGTCAAGCTGGTTTCCTCTTGACATCCACATTCTAAATTTGAGTTGGTTTCCTCTCAAATTGAGTAACAGCTATAATCGAGCTGGTTTCCTCTCGATTATTACCTACACTGTCCGAGTTGGTTTCCTCTCGGACCCATCTCACACATTTTTTGGATCAAGTTGGTTCCCTCTTGACGTTAGACTGAAACCCATATTCGAGTTGGTTTCCTCTCGATATGAGTAACCGCTAACATCGAGTTGGTTTCCTCTCGATGTCACCTCCACTCACTGAGTCTGGTTCTTAAGCAACCACACTCATCCGTTTTTTTTTGTCCCAGGGTAAGAAGCGGTCCTTACGACGAGTGGCCCAAGACTGGGCTGAACGAGGTTTGCATTTCGACGAGTGCCCTTCCGCGCCAATCGAGGAAGTGCAGCTACAAGTAGGAGACGAGTGGCTTTACCGACAATATTGTCTCAGACGAAATAGGCCTGCCCCTTGGGACGCACCACCTCTCCCGTTGCCACTGCCACGTTTCGGTATCGCAACCGTCAACGTCACCGTCCGTCGAGGTGAGCCTGAAGCTGTCTACGCTCCTATCGCCGCTGCCGCCGCCCCAGCTCCAGTAGTTGAAGTTCCGGAAGTAAGAGAACCAGCACGACTTCCTCGTCCCGAAGTTTCGAACTTCGCTTCACGGGAGAACTGGTACTATTTCGACTACGTGTCCTCAAACCGACCCAAGCCACGGGCCGTAGTCAGGCCTACCATCAGCCAACCGCCACAGCCGTCGCTGGTCCCGACGAAGGAGTCAGCTGTCGCACCGGAAGACGTTAAAGTCCACGAGGGCGAAGGATCGTTCAGTCCCATTGTAGACAGTCCACCTCGATCACCTCCAACCCCAGAGGTACGTCTGCAAGAGAAGAGCCCATCTGAAGCTGAATTGGTAATTGAGGAGGACGTCTTGAATCTCGAAACGTCACCCCTCAGCGGCGGTCCTTACTCCCCTGAAGGAACGCCTGAGGCCACGCGACTGCGACCTACATTTTCTAAGTTGCCGTTAGCGAAACGACGAAAAATTGTCTGCGATTTATTAACTTTATTTTAACATTCACACACTCACACTTATCACCCAAAGATCACACAACAGTATTTGACAGACCACTTGTATTATTAGTACGTAAGAAAGTATGAATAAATTATACATTGTCTTCCTCTAATTCACTGTGTTGTCAATGTCTTAACGTGGAACGTGGTTGGTTTCCTCCTCGTTCTAATATCCCCACCCACATTACAATTTTACTTCACTTTTCCGAGGTTGCGAGTCTCTCTCTCTCGCGCTCCTCGTTTTCTCGTATAGATAGTTAGTTGTCTGTTGGTCCAGTCACTTCCACCACAAGTGACCGGTATCAGTATTTTAGTGATTGAAAAATTTTTTTAATGGTAAAAAATGTTATAATATTAAAAGTGATTAAATAATTAATAATTAAGTGAAAATTGTTAACAAAAATATAAAAAATCATTTTTCAAGTTTAAAAAATTAAAAATTTGTGTTAAAGTGAAAAAAACTGTTGTTGTGTTTAAAAAGTTTTGTAACATATACTTGGTAGTTCAGTGAAAATTACAAATGAAAATAAATCAATTGTTTCATGTTTATAAAAATTGTAAGAGTTGTAGTGATTAAAAAAGTGTTTTAGTGATTGAAAAATTGTTGTATTCGTAAAAAAAGTAAATTAAAAAATTAATAATTAAGTGACAATTTTTTGAATAGAAATAAAAGTGAATAAAAATAAAACAATTGTTTCATGTTTATAAAAATTGTAAGAGTCGTTGTGATCAGCTAAAATGGAATAAATATTTGGAAAATACAAAGCATAAAAATGGAATGAATATAATGGAAATTAGATGTGTGAAAAAATAAATAATATAAGGGAAACGAATTGAAAATTGCGAATAGCCAATCGACTTTAATAAAATTAGGACATTCACATCAAATGGGCAAAAATAGCTTTCATTTAACTAAAAATTTCGTTCTGTAATATTAATAGAACTCGTTGTAAGTTAAAATTTAAATTAATTTCATTCTTTATAGTAAGTGAAAAATATTTCCCTTTTCGATAGAATTTCTATATTTTCAACAATATTATGTACAATAGTTATTACAGTTATTCGCGTGCAATTTTTAATTTCCGTTTTGAAGTCAATACTTTCCCCAGCAATAAAACTTGGAATGATATATTGAATTGAACTTACAATTTCAATGTATATAGTTTGGGCAATTTTCATTGAAAATCTATATATATATATATACGTAGCATTAAAGTTCCGCTGAAGATACTGAAGTGTCGATCGTAAAAGTAGAAAAATAAATATCGAACGGTATACTCGTATCGTTTTTTATCGTTAAATAAATATTAAGTTGCTTGAAGCGCACGAGTGTTTTATACAATGGTAGGATTTGTCGTTACGGGTCATAACGATAAAAAGAAGACTTCGTTTTTCTGTCTAGAAAGGACAAATTTTTTCTTTTTTTTATTTCTTTTAGAAAAAGAGCAGTGTATGCAAAAAAAAGAAAACTCGGAAATGTAGTGAAATATCCTGTTCCATTGGGAATTTCACAAATCGGAGAAAAGTAGTTCCGTTTCAGAGACTGTTTTACACTGCCCATGAGTTTTCTCTCGCCTTCGGAAAACTAAAGATAAGCATCTCATAAAATCCCTTGTGAAATCAAATCCTTAAAGAAAAGCGTTTTACTGTATTTTGATCCCTCGATACCTCATTCGAGTCACGATGCACAAAAAATTCGTTGTTTGAAAATTAGCTCTTTTATATTTTTTTCTAACAAACATAAACTTGTAGAAATATATATTTATTATTCCATATTCAGAAATTAATAATAATAATAATATCCAAATTTGTTATCAATTAAAATTGTATTAATTCATTTTAGCAAGTAAATAATTTTCTTGTTTGCTTTTTCGAACAAAAACCATCATCCTGGACTTTCAAATATTTGACAGCAGAATTTAATTACCAGGGAATTAAATATTTTAAATTTCGTTAATATTTCAAAAATCTATCAGCTTCATGTTCAGGATGAAAAACTTTTATAAATGTTTTAAATTGCGGAAGAGTTTTGTTTATTAAAACTTTTAATTAACGTTTTATAGTTTAAATAGAAAATTATTTCCACATTGGTTGTACTTTTCTAAAAGATATTTTTTAGCTTTCGTGCAATTTTTTTCTAAAGCTTTATTTATTATTATTATATGCTTTAAAATATCACTCACCTATAATACATATCGGTTTTCTTATAAACCTCAGTCGCCCGCAGCATCCCATATATTTCGATCGGCAACCAGCGCTCCATAGTCGTACCAAATACTCGACTCCAAAAAATACCACTAAACATATTTCCTGAAATAAAAAGATTTTCTTCTTCATTATAAAAGAAAAAATTGAAAAAGTTTTTAGAAAATATTTTATAAAATATTTTATAATTTTTCTTCTGTTCTTACTAACTGACTAAAAAAAATGTTGCGTATAAAATTGTATTTTGAGCGGAAAATTAAAATTTTCTAGTTATTTTTTTAAACATGTAAAAATATAATGTCATTTTTCGTCGGAGAAAAAATTCAAAATGTCAGATTATTGCATTTTAAGTTTTATGTAATTTTTTTCATGTTTCAACACGTGTTAATACTGCAGTCAGTGATGAATTTTACATAAAAAAAACTTTTCTCATAAAAACTTGTGATATAAATTACGTTATAAATCGCGTGTTTCTGTGGATTGCGTGTTGTCGCGTAAAATAGTTTTACTTGTTTCACACAAATTTTTTTTTAACTGATGAATTTAATTTGTCCTACCCGCCTGACTGAAGTTCGCGTTGATAAAATTTTCCAAATGTAATAAAAAAAGGGAGTTTATTAAATGTTAAAATCGTCGACACAAAGTGCCAGTAATGGGCAATAAAAGCTTAAGTTTATTTCAACTGAACTGACGTTATTAAAAGCTCATGTCATGAATGCGAAATTATTATTATATTCGCTTGCATGGAGAAGTTTTCATCACTTTCAATTTCCTTATTAGAGATAATTTTTTAAAATATTATTTTTTAGAAAAATTAAAAAATTTTCTAGGAACAAAATTTTAGGTCCAAAATAATACATATATATAAATAACAGTAATGTACGATAACAAAAAGAGAATTTTTTTTAGTTAGAGAGTAATAGTCAATTATAGTTGAAACATTAATTTGCAACGTCACGAAAGTAATTTTTTTCAGGACAAGAAAAATATGTTGTCACGTTAAACGGGAGTGCACAAATGATTTTATCCAAGTTAAGAAATTGATCGTCCTGGCGTTTGACAGTCGACAATTAATCTTCCTCTTGTTATGGAAGTTGACTCTATTTCCTTCTCGACTATAATAGGTACCATATCATTGGTATTTCTTACACTTCCAGAAGTTTCCTATTCTCAACCCGACACCCCTCAATCAATACCACAAATAGCGGACCATTTAAGAACACGGGAGCCAAGCGAAGCATGGAGAACGGGATGAAAGGGTGGAAGATCTTAAATCTTAACTTAATATTGCAATTGAAGAAATTGTTTCATTTCACAGATGACTGGGAATATATATATTTGAAGAAATAGAAATTACAGGAAAAATATTATTTTTATTATGAAAAAGAAATGACGATTCAACAAAAATACTTTAAGAGTATTAAATTTAATGATGAATAATAATACAAAGACGAAACGATTACAAAATTAGAACCATCTTGTCGGATGAAAATTAAAAATTCTAATTTTTAAAATTAAATGCTTAATAGCAGAAAAAAAAATTACACAATCCTTTAACCCAGTAATGAATTCAAAGTTATTTTTCATCTAACTCGTAATCAAACAAGGAAAAATGTAAATTTCCCTGTTTTTAGATTGTGGGTCGTCAGAACATTATTCTGAAGTCATGAGTTGTTATCCCCTCCTCAAAGGTTCTTTCTCTTTTTGTATAAATATAGTGCAGGAAGACAAGTTGAATAGGGAATGATAATGTATTTAAGGATCGCGTGTAAGTGAACTTAAGAAAAATTGTCTGTTCATTATGCTAAGAGGCGGAAAGGGAAAGAAACTTGGGACATGAAAGAACGGTGGATGGAGCATAAGGAAAGAGTGAGAGTGCGAGTAGGGAAAAAAAGGAGGAAATGTGGAGAGATATACCAGTCGTTTTGAAGGGCCATTAAGCTTCAAGTTTCTCAACAGTGAAATCGACCTTCGCGACATTAGAAGCCAAAACCTCCCTTCAAGTTTCAAGCTTCATTATTGTATAAGGGTAGCTTACTATGGTTAAAGCATGTCTCGCTAAGTGTCAACATGTGTTGAGAGTTAATTCCAAAAAACAAATATCGAAAAATTAGTTCTATTCCTCACCCCCCTTAGATCTCTAAAGCTGTTCAATATCCCTTAATCCTCTTGAACACTGTTCAATTATAGAATATTTTATTGAAAACAGTATTTACTTGTTTGCTTCCCTTGTTTATGAACGAGACTTTAATTTTGTTTTCACTAATAAAATTCTTATATTCTTTATGTAGACAATAAATTTTTTCTGACAAATTTATTTCTTTCAACAAAAGAAAGTACCTTAAAGATATTTACTGTAGAATCACCTTAACAGCGCTGTGATTGGATCTTGCATAAAGGTCGAAAAAACTAATAAAATCATCTGCTATAGTACACTATTCACAATCTTTCCTGCTTTTTGAAAAATATTTAATTCACTTTTTGCAGTGACTGTGCGGTTTAAAAATTTGAGAAGCAAAAAGTTAGATTAAAATAAATATGGAATTTTATGCATAAAGAATATCGACGATTACCGTAATGGTATTAATATTTAATGATGAATAATAGTACAAAAACGAACGAAATAATAAACTCCGAATTAAGTTTTTATTTACATAAAAATAAAACTTTTCCCCCAATTTATTTTAGTATAATATAATTAATTCTGCTTTTCTTCTTAAACTCCTTCGTGTTATTTTGTCATCAAATGTAAATTTTATTATTCTAATAAAACCCAACTCACATTCAATTGCCAAAGAGATTCTTCAATATCCTCTTGTCATACAATAGCAACACTTATTAAATACTTGTATAATTCTTTAGATAGAATATATACTTGAGAGAAACTATATTTGTTGGGAGAGAAAGAACAAGAGTGGAGAAAATTGAAAAAAATAATCTTCTACTATACATGAATGAAGAAAGACCTATTATAGGGGAAGTTTGTTTTCTTCTCCCACAAGAGTTTATGTATATTGAAAAAAAACTTGTACGAAAAATAAATTACTTTTGTTGAAGGTTAATTTGAGATCCATTTTCCAAAAATGATTAAACTTGTTTGCTAAGAGATGGAAAGAGGGAGAGAGAGAGGAAAAGGTTGTTAATAGAAAGGTATTTCTTTCCTCAAGTGGTTGCATCACGGAAGCCATTAATTCGTTTCCTCCATTTTCTTCTACCTTCTCTCACCCTTCCCTCTCTCCCTCATTCTCCAATTACAAATAGCGCGATAGGGCACATACTTAGCGTTGCCAAGTTGAAATTAATCTCGTCTGATGTTGGGGTGGAACATTTCCGCGATGTACGAGTCTCGATGCAGGTCGAGATTACCGAGACCAATAAGATGCTCTACTACCTCGCATTCCCTGTAAAATACTACTTTGAGTTTGATAGAAAGTGAAGGTATGAAGAACTGTGTAAAATGAGAGTGGGAGATTGAGAAGGCTTTGGGAGTATCAAGAATTCTTTTGGACATAGTAGATAGACGAGGAAGTACGAGCAGTGTAACAAGTCAAGCCAGCTGTATTTCTGTCTTCAGCAACGCATCTGAGCTTCATATTGTAGGCTGCAACAAGGACAAGGACAAATGCATGAAACTGCGAGAAGAGGAGGCAGTATGCATTGATATTATTGCAGCTTAGGTCTGCAAGATGCTAAAGACCATCGAGGTGCAGAAAAATGTCAATATGATTATTAAGAAGGGATTGAAAAGTCTAAAATCACACATTTTACTCAACCTTTACCAAGGTTTAGTCTGAGCAGAAGAGGCACGACAAGAGCAAAGACGCAGAAAGAAGGGTGACCTGCTTCTAAAAATAGAAGGCTTACAAGGGAAGGAGAAGTTCACCGAGAAGTGAAGTTCAGGAAGCCTTGGTGCAAACTTTGGGACAGCCTGTCGAAAGGTGACGATTCAAGGACCCAACAAGCGTGGCTTAAAGATTGCTGTTGCAATCACGAGCTTAGAGGAGTTTGAAAGACTTGAAAAGTTGGGACGCATAAAGGTTGGGCTTTATGTCGTGCCCAATCAGAAAATGATGTATGGTCGTCAGGTGCAATATGTGCCTAGGATATACATCCACATAGGAAGAGGTTGCTCGAGTTCAAAATGGAACCTTCATCGCACGAAGTTTGAAGCCAATAGGTAGTTCCATGGGTTGAAGAATAGTCCAGATTAAGACGGGAGTGGTTTTTAGTGGGTCGGCAAACTTCTTGTTTCAAATGTCTTAATTTGACTTTAATAAATCTCCCTTTTTCTTCAAATTACTTTTCCCCGAATAGACTACTCAAAACTCTTGAGTTGTAAAATGCTTTTTCAAAAAGGGAACTATTGCCCTGTGCCTCCACTTGGGATAAAAAAAACTGTGTCTATATTCGACTAACTGCCTTACTTTGTTTCGACAAGTTACGCAGGCAAATGTCCAAATTTCTCCATGCCAATTATTTTTATAGAATGACAATTTGGTGGCACCAAATTGTCAATTGCTAAGTGAATTTTTACCACCTTGTAGAATTAGGTAGTGACAACACACAATTTCAGTAACTTCGATGTACCACGCCTAGTATTAAAAAATCTCTTTAGAAACATTGAGTAAATCCTACAATGAAAAATATTTGAAGAATAATTCATTTTTATATGTAACTCAACCCTATTGACAAATACTGCAATATGTCGGTTATTAAGACATCTTTTTAGAATTTAATTTAGGTTAACAATTTGTATCGATGAAGAAAGTGTTATTGTATTTAGGTGTGTGTGTGTGTGTGTTATTGTGTTAAAAATTCTTTTGGTCTTACTTGATTTTATATAATTTTAATAGGTTATTTTTATAAAGATTATGACAATATAAAATGTTACGAAGTTATACGTAACAAGGAAAAATTATAAATGTTCATTATTTTTACCCTGACTTCTCTTAATCTTTTAACTCTCTGCTGATGCTAACGACCGTTATCGTTAAAAATCGTCATTCTGGACGCCTGGTGGAGACTATAGGAGTTACGTGCTTTGGAGATAGAGTGGGGATAAGTAAGCATCAGCAGAGGGTTAAAAGTAATTGTATATTTTTTTGGTTCTGCGGTTCAATTTTATTTTTTCATTAAAGAATTTTTGTTTCTTAGAGTAAAAATTGAAAAATATAATTTTATCATTACTGGGCAAGCGTGAGAAAGAAAAAGCAGCTAAAATGGAAAGACTAACATTTGATAGGGCGAATGCGAAAATAAACGGTGACCTCTTGTCGTAAAACGTCGTTTGAAAGCATTCATCGATATTTGAAAGTTGAGATAGCAGAGGAGCGTCAAGATACCTAGTGATAAGGAATTTATACGCCGCAGATACGTGAATTTCCATCTTACTTTTGTAAATTATTTTCACTCACAATTTATTGTCATCACTGACGCAAAATTTTAGGTCTATTAAACTAACACTAACATTTTGATATCAAATTTTACGTATGTCATAATTTAGGTCTAATTTTTTGACAATTTAAAATTAACACTTTTCCAAAGGCGTTCGTAGAAAAGTTGTTCTAATGTACGAAGAATTAAAAAAAATAAAATTTGGTTTATTTTCATTTCGTCAGACAATTAACTTCTATTGAGCAATCAGAAATTATTATCATATCGAGATGTAGTAATTATAAAGGGAAAATCAAATGCCACTCACCATCCAAAACAAGGTTTCGTTTGCGAAATTACTGTACTGCTCTATTGTTGAGAGAACGCTGAAAATGAGGCACACCAATACCACCATGAACCTGAAAAAGAAAAATAAATAAGAGAAACAAATAGTTGGAGAGTGCAATATTAATCGTGTGGGCACTTGGGAAAATTATTCGAGAAATTTTCTCTAATGAAAATAGTCCTTCTCAAAATTTAGAGAAAAAAAATTGTTTTTTCTTTGTATCTTTTTTTTTTGCTTGTTGATTAACAGTGACGAACATTTTTTTTCACTTGCCTCATAAATACATCCCCCTGAATTCCTCTATATGAATAAGTAAACGGGGGAGTTGGAGGAGCATCCGCTATATCTATTATCCAACGCGACATAATACCGCAGGCGGCAACTATTCTAAGCTCGGAAGCAGAGATTACACATTGAAGTCAGCTTTGCTATCTTCAATAGCGCCGGAAGTGTTACTACGCTGGAGTTTAACGTCAACACTTTTATCTCGTTCATTTACACGCGCCTATTAACTAGACTTATATGACTGTTCAAATTTCAATTCATCGTTCGACTATTTAAATGTTTTTGTTTAAACAGAAGTTGAGAAGGAGGGGCGGATTCAATGTTTCTTTATTCCATATTTCTGCTGGTAAATTTATGTTAACAAATACCACCTAACTTAAAAGGTTAAAAATTATCCCATGAAAATTACATGATTTTCGTTTCGGAAATGATTCTGTTATTGGAGGCCATTTATTTGGAATAAAAATGTGCGTAAAGGGAAAATATAAAGATTTTATTCCAAACACGAATGTTCGACGTGGGCAATTGTACTAATGGAACTTATCCGTCCACTAAATTTAGAAATGGAACACCCACACACCAATTATTTATTAATAAAAAATTACTTTTTCTCCTACATCCACTTATTATCAATTATTTTATAAACAAAAAAAAATCGTCCACTTTGAATTGCTGCCAGTGGTATGGAGAAAAAGAATATTTTTACCAATTTATTAAATCAATTTGTTAATTACATATTATTTGATAGCTCTTTCTTGTACCTGAAAAATTTCGTCTTGTTTTCAATGATGTTATAAATTAAATACTGAAATTGTCAAGAAATTGCTGTTACTTTTTTGTTGTAAAGAATACGAAAAAAATATACTCGTATATAATCCATAACATCAAAGATGCGCGTCAACTGACGAATTTTGACTAGACGCCGCGCACCTACGAGGTACTCCCACCGCGCTCGAGTCTCCGAGCGCCCCACCACCTCTCAATCGACTAATAGCGCGCTAGTCGTGCAAAGCGCGAGTATAAATATCGGCGTTTGATCGGCATTGGAGACATTCACAATTTCGCACTGAATGTTACTCAGATGTAGGAGCTAACGCTTAACGCTTTACGTTCCAGTAAAATTTATCAAATTAATAAATAAAAATCACAGTCCGTGGTATCTCCATCCGGAAATAAGAAATTCATTCATTATTTATAATCAGCCCTAGGAACTTGTTTAAATTAAAAAAATAAATTAAAATTGCACGAGAGAATCGAAGCCACTAAGATTTATATCGTCTTTTAATAAATTACTATATTTATGCCTCTCAATATTTAAATGCAGCATTTTCAAACCTCTTAGTTTTTATTTTATTGTAATTTTTATTTTCCCTTAGGCAAATTTCGCTTTACTCACGGAACTGGAAGTATAAACCTTTTTCTTTCTAAATAAAATACGTTTTTTTACAAATCAAATACTTTTTTTTTAATTTTCAATTCATTCAATAGAACACAAAATAAAATTTTCTCTTTTATTGGTTTTCGTAAAAGTTGTCGAAAAAGAAATAATTGATCAATTACTTCTTTCTGTACTAGATTTTCCAAAGTTTATTCAATATATTCGGGTAAATAGAATGTAAATGGTTATTAAAAGTATTTTAATAAAAACTGATGTAAACCAGAAAAGAATTTTTTGGATGTCATGGATTTTATGCCATTATAGCAGAAAGAATGAATGGGTTTATATTAATTCTTCTCCCAAATATATGCGGTAAATGTAAAACATTTTCTCGTAAACGGTTTAAAAGATTAGAGAGATGAACAATAGGAGATTATTTTTAAAGCTTTACAATGACGTATATTATTTTTATTAAATAATATACTAGGTACATAGAAAGCAGGTACTTTAAAAATAAAGACTATTTTCATAATTGTACACGGAGAGACCCACATTCGTAAAAATTACTAAAAATGGTTGCAATGACCGGAAATAAGGAGACTTTTAGCATAATGTGCTACAGAATTAGATAAATTTACAAAAGAAATAGATAAATTTGCTACATTGAAATAGCAAGTTTTAATATTTTGTGTAAGAGTTGTAAATGTAGCAAAAATTGATTATAGTTTTCTCTAATTTAATTAGACAAAATCTGACAAATGAAAACATTTTCCACTAAAACCTTCGATCCACTGTAGTAATTTTTGGTGAGCAAGTGTGGCTAGCGAGTGCAGTCATATGGCGCCTGCATTTCTATTGGTTGCTAACTTCGTCAATCTCCGTAAATGAGCCGATGCCATCCGATCATTGACAGTGACTATGTTTCGCGTATGTAAAATAAATTTGGATATTATCTACAATAATTAAATATAAAGTGAAACGTAGGTCGTTCGTTATCTCGGAAATTGACCATTATAAATTAATAAATTTTGCATTTATTCCTGTCCCAAGGACTATGTCTTATAATAAGTTGTTAAAAGTAAACTGCTTTCTCGTAAGTGCTGTAAATTTTCATCATTCAATATATAAGGAAACAAAGATGTATGCTTTCAGTGAAATTCGTTGTCGTGTGTGCAGTTGTGTATTAGTGTATTAATTAACCGCGTCTATGAATATAAGTGAAATAAACATGTGTGTGTCTTCAAATATTTATCCAACAAATATATAAGTGTGTGTGTGTGTCTGTGTATGTAAAAATCCTTCCAGTTTACCTCCATTAGTCAAGAATTGACGGGAAACCGGCGACAAAAATCCGTATTTTTTCTTTCACTCTTTCTTTCTGCATTTACAAACGACTATAGTAATTTTACGTACACAATGCTTCTGAGTTTACTACAGTTGTTTGGAACTATTGGACGAAATAGTAAGAAACTTTGCTAATTTGGTGAACATTTGTCGGGATTAGTGACTTAGTGTAGAAAATAGTAAAAAATACAAAAAGTCCCCTTATTTCCGGTGGTTGCAATGTGAAAATAGTAAATTCTAGTGTGATTTTATACAAAAATTAGTAATCTCGGTCTCTCCGTGTAATGTTTATGTTTATTTAAAATTTTTTTAAAAGTTTTTATCGAAATAATATTTTGGATATTTAAATACTTTTGTATTAATATCACTACAGTGTTTTTTTTGAAGAGAATAGATTTTTATAATAATTTATCTAAAGTACTTTTTAATATTTTATACTAATTTCATTAAATGTGAATAAATAATGAGAAGAAAATTCTCCTTTTTTTAAAAAATGCATATTTTGAAATGCCAAATTTAAACTAGAATTTCTCGAAAGGAATGTGATGGATTACATTCGGTATTAATTTAAATGAAAGCTTACTCCACGAACTTTTTAATTTTATAATACTTTCATTTAAAACTGAAAATCAGAGAAAAATAGTTTTTAAAATTATTATGACGTAGAATAATTTCATTTATAGCATACTATTTTATGTTTTTACATTATTTGGTAAATTATTAATTGTTAAAAGTTTACTTTCTGTAAATATTAAATTGTAGTTAATTATAATAATTATAACTTGTAAAATAGTGTGGATTCTTTAAAATGTTGAGTGGTTCAAAATTTATTTAAATTATTGTTTAACAATTGGAAGTTAAAAATAAGAAACCAGTTTAACATTAAAAATCATTTGTCTTAAAAAATATTGTTTCCTATTAGGGTCAATTTTCACACTATAAACTAAAACCAGAATTTTTCGAAAACAAATATTATGTTTGATGTAAAGGGTTAAATATTAAACTTACAGTACTTTTTATTGATAAATAATAATTTTATTCGATGCAAAAGGGGATTAATGAAATTAGCAACTTTCTCATAATCGGTAACCATGGCATACCAAAACTAAGATGTTTCTAGATGCTACAAAATCCGTATCTAAACATATTTGCATGAATGCACACTGAAGCTAAATTCTCTGTTCCGAGGCATGCGGTCTTTTAGTATCAAAGGCTCATGCAATAGTGAATAATGAGCACATAGCTCAATATGTTCACTCGAAATTCGCTTCATTTCGTTCTGTTAACTCAAAATTAATCCTCGTTTATTTGATGACCAGTGTCATAAACAATCAATTCTTTAAATTCTATCTGATTTGCAATAATAGTAGCATTTATATAAATGAAAGCATTTTTTAAAAAATTTCATATTTTCGTTTTCATTATATATATATGCAAATAGAGAAGTAGTCAAGAAATCTTAAAATTAAGAAAGTTGGTTTAAAGTATGATTATCGTTTTGGTACTATATAAAAGATGGCGTGTTGGAAGACTATAATTTTCATCCAAGGAACCTTAACGGGTCACCTTCAATGACCCACTGAGAAGCTAATTGTCTTCATTCTTCTTAACTTGCTTCATTTTCATTTCGTTTACAATCTTTGATACGAATGATAATACTTAACTGATGTTCTTAAAAAGGTGCAAAATTCTTTACACGTTCTTAGAGGGCAATTCGATGTTCATCTAGGTCGTTTGATATCGTCTCAATTTGCATATAGTCCAAATTCTAATCTCAAATTTTAACGATTTGAAAAATTTTCCCCCAAATAATTAAAATAATTTTCGCATTCCCATCTTTTTTGCTCAAGTACCTTTTTAATATTTCGAAAAATATCCGAACAATGTAAATATTATTTCTCTCTATTATACTAAAGAAATCAATAATTTCCATTTTTCCTAATTTGAGAAATTTTTTTTTATGCTTTTGTAATCGTGTGTCAAGTCGTGTGTGAAATTTGACAATCCAATGGAATAAAATACCGTTCACAAAACGTATTCTATTTCCTGTTATCCTTGAGGTATTT